CCAACATATCACCTTCATATCATCTTCTGTATTTGTATTTCCATTTAGTTGAGTCATTTAAAGAATATACATTTTGGAAATATATTTATCAGCTTTCTTGCTGAGAGTTGGATTAGAAGTTAGAATAAGCATTTTAACTAACTAAAGTACGCCTAATATATTTTCAAGATGTTTGGTCAGTGGGTCAAATACTGCATGCTTCCCTCCACAGAGCCCTCATCTACTGACGATAAAAGTTTTACATTACCCATGACGATCCTCCTGTCAGCAGGTATCACACAGCTCTAGACCCTGGTTTTATTCAACCCAGCACAATGCCTTTTTCACAGCTTTGGCTTTTAGGAGTGGGAAAAGCAATAATGTTAAGCTCTGATCTATTCAAGTTTTAACAATACCAAGACCCTGAAACTGAAGCTAAATGGAATTCAACCATCATTAATTTGTTTCGTTGCTCTTGTGCTTCTGTCACATGTCAAAATGTCTTCAGTGAAAAAGGCCTGTGTTGCTTTTGTGGTCTCTTATACAACATTAAGCTGCATTTTGCAGGTGCTCTCCTTATTAGAATTAGTTTTCTACCTCTGTATTAGCTGCCTTTCTTCAGCCTGTCTGATCCAGCCGTTAGTTTACCATTTGTCCATTTTATCATCAAAATTTTTCTTCTGAGTCAATATGTTGGTCATTGTTTCTTTCTTGCCACCATTACTGACCACTTATTTTCTCACTTGATGGCAGGATCTCCCACAAGCCCTGATCACAAGACAAAACGCCAGAGCGACCCCACACCTTTTGGCTTCAAAGGTAGTTATGTTGTCCAACAATATCTGCAATCTTTAATATCAATAAACAATATCTGCATACCCTCCATGTCTGGTTAGTTCTTCACTCACTATGCCAGAGCGCAGCCTTGGTCTCTAACAGTGATGAGTTTCATTGGCTGTAGCTGCTGCAGGGTGGAGTGACTAGCTGTGTTTCTATTGCCTCCTGTTCCTCAGATGCAGGTCCTCCCCCTCTCTACCTGAGCAGGGCCAGGTGGTTCAGCACCTCTAGTCTCTTACAGACAAAGTGGAGAGGTACACTGGCACCAGCCGGCTCACGCTGGCCGTGGGTCGGGCCCACTGTTTCACTACTATAAACCCTTCCGTCTTTCTCAGTTTTTGCTTTGCCGTCCTGCATCTCCACATTCCCTTCAGGCTTAGTGAAAATCATAGAAATACACACTGATATGGAGGAATTTCTGCCTGCCACTTTTCCTTTGTTAGTGTAAAACATAGAGGTGCATGCCCGTCTCCCCAGTCTTAGATTTCTTTGGGTAATAGGTGTGAAACTAACTGTGTCATGCTGGGATTCTTGGGATTAGGTGTTTTTCCTTCTCTGTTCAAAAGAGCTTTCTGTGGTTCTTCCCATCACTCGTTTACACTTGTAAATCTTTTCACTGAAGGTCACGCACGTGTTTGACAGCAACTGAAGCTGAATGTCGCTGTGTACTAAACACGTGTTTCCCTTCCTCCCCAGGCTGGAACAAGGCCTCCCTGTCGCTGGATGCCTCAGAGGAGCATGACGGATATTCCAGTGCTGAGGATCCTCTGAACTCTGACCCAGAGGATGACAACGGCAAGAAGCTGGTGAGTCGCTGTGTGGGATCTGTGCTTGTATCAATTACATTGTGGGGACCAAAATCTGTTTACACATTCAAATTAGGGGGACTCACCTCCCATTGTCCACAAAGTTTGGCAGTAGGGTCGGGGGAATGTAGTGGTTATGATTAAGTTTCAGGTAAATTTCAGAGAATAAATATGTCCTCCAAAGCTACAAAAACAAAACAAAAACGAGTGTTATTGGTGACATTATCAGATAATAATGATCCTTTTTTTATTTGTCATCTTTGCCCATAGACTATACTGTAGTTCCTAAGGTTATTATTAAGGTTATTTTCCAGTGACTGTGTCCTGTCTTTTTTATGCAGATATTTTATTTATCACCATTTCTATTCATATATCTTTCCATCATGGAAGATCAAAGGAGTAAACCACATGTAGTGTAGCTACCACGTTGACATTCTACATAACTAACTCTCCAGTTTTAATAAAGGCTGCAGTTTAATTCACATTTACTTACAGCAGCTGTATTTTTTTAGCTACTGCCAGCAAACAGTTGCCTATATACACTTCCACCAGACACAGAGTTGCTTTTCTTCTTTCTTCTCCTCTCACCAACTCCTGAGAGAAATAGCTATCTCTGTAGATGCTAAATGATCCATTATGTTCACCAGCTAGTTGCTAATTGTGCCTGTTCTGTTGTTAGTTGCTAGGCAGGTAGCATACAGTGGGTGGGTGGATAGAGGTTGGCAAGAGCAGGGAGACTGAACCAAAGCAATAACGTAAACTAAGACAGTGTGCTGAGGGCATCTGCAGAGTAGGGTTATAATTGTCAGTGGGTTTGTCAGTGACCCCTGTCATATTACATATAGTTGTTGTTGTAGTTGAACTAATGCAACTCTTGATTTGTTTTTGACTTGTGTAACTTCTGACAAAGTTGATGAATCCTATTCTATCTCCAAATCTTGACTTTGAACAGTGTGCCGGCAAATATACAGTGATGGCTGACTATGAGAAGGGCGGTGCTCAAGAGCTCTCAGTGAAGAGCGGAGACATGGTGCAGCTGGTCAAGGAGGGGGACGACGGAAAGTGGTAAGAAAACAGCCACACCACTGCAAAAATAGAAATAAATATTATAGCAGCACTTCTGTAATAGTACTTTTGTGTGCGCGTGTGTGTTCATGCAGGTTTGTGCGTAACCTGAGCACATCTAAGGAGGGCTGGATCGCAGCTGCTAATCTTATGAAGCTCATTGGAAAGTCCAAATCTTGCCAGTCTCTCACCAGCTCAGGTATTCAAACTATCCCAAATGGAGTGTGTGACAAATGAACAGAGCAAGAGAACTACATCTGACATTAATCCTCTATATGTGTGTGTGTGTGTGTGTGTGTGTGTTTCTGACAGAAGGCAGTGGCTCTGGAAACCTCAGCACATCGTCCAGCTGCAGTGAGACCTACACAAGCTTCTCTGACATCAAACCTTGAACTCCTCAGCACTTCCTCCATCACCAAACTGCCCTTGCGAATTGCTAGCATCATGTGGCTATCCGTACTGTATTGCCAACGTCGGTACTCATAAGAATTTTGTCAGGTTTCCACAGAAAGCTGTATTTTTTCAGTTTTTAAAATCATGCACATGCACCAGTTATTCAGATAATATGTCTTACATGTGCACATGTTATAGATTTGATTGTGGTGCAATTGTGCAGTGCAGGTACTGGATAGATAAATACATCACAGTATAGTAAAGTGATCTTCCTCTAGTCATACACTTGTCTGTATATTTTTATGAAGAACAGAGGATCCCTGTGATTATAATGTAATAGATGTATGAATGGGCCAGCAGGACTGATCTCAGTTAATGCATCTATTTGTGTTCTCGTTAAAAGTGCAGAAAGATCAGCGATCAAATGTGGATGACAGTTGTCTGCACTAATTCACCCGGGAGTTTATAATTCCACAGTTACTGTAAATAAAAAAAGAGGGAGAGAGTATTAAATGTGCACAGCTTGTTTAGCTTGAATGAATGTTTTCTGTCTAATCCCCTGCTTTTATCCTTTACACATGTTTATTTATTTTTAAGAAACAAAAAAGGTACTCACATATCGGTAAATGTAGTCACTTTTTAATTTGCTTTTCATCTCTTCTTTCCTTAATGTCCTTTTGTCTTCCTGTCTGTCACTTGTCTCTTGTTGTCATTAGAAACGTGTTCTGCCACCAGCTGCCCAGACTTTGTGTATGAGCTTTTGTCTTTTGGGGTCTCTGAGGGGCCTCATGGTCAAACTCTGTGTATGCTACAGTTTAAAAATGTTTCTCCATGTGAATAATCAAAGATCACTGTATAGCGCTAACTTATTCCCCCATGGAGGGATCATGTTCTGAATGTAGATATTGTTCATTAATATCTGTCCGTCATGAAATGTTTGTTATTTGAGATGCTATATTGTACATTAAGTATGGTGATGTCACTACTTTGTGACTTGTCTAATTTTTTTTACATAAACGACTTGTGATAACTCAGTCACAGCCTCTTTTTGTCTTGTGTGTGTATATAAATGAAGGCTTGATTGCACTACAAGTGTCTCATAATCGCTCTTTATAGCTCAATACTGATGCATTATTCTACGGCTACAGGAAATGATGTGTGTCTGAAACATCTGGAGCATTTGTGGAGGCTGATGTAACACATAAAGGCAGGCAAGGCCTCAGATAGCTGAGAGGGAAGAAGTCCTTGGATCCAGAAATGAAACTGAAACTGTTTCATTGGGTTGCCAAGTTTGTTCAAATATTCAAAATGAGTAGACCAAATACATTGATACAATACACATCTGATTTCACTTTGTAAACAGGATGTAAAAATTTGCATTTAGTTCAATACCAACATTACAAAAAGGCAGCTGTTTAATGTTACGATCTGAAGGGGAAACATAAAAATAAAAATAAAAGAGTATAAATTAAAATCATTCATTTATGTAGGATCAGTAATTGCTTGGATGCCCAGACTTTATCATACACAGGATAATATTTTTAGAAGAACATCTTCCTAGCAACATGAAAGTCATGTCCTCTCTGGGAAACCTGAGGGTTTATAATCACTTAAAGAGCTAAATTCTACATTTACACATACAGTTTATTACACATGTTGTTTTTAGGGCTGATTCTCATGTTTTGTAAGACTGAATCCAACTGTTTGGGGGCAAAGAAAAAAAAAATATATATATATAAAATAAGCTTAGTATGTCTCCTAGATAAATATTACAGAGAATATAAGTGACCAATTTGAATTAATAAAAATAGATATTTTTCTTTAAATACTTTTGATTTTGGTTGGTGGCTGTGTGTTTTCACAACACGAGTTTTGTTCCCGCAAAGTTCCCAAAAGGTTGAACTGACCCGTGGGATTGTGGGAGCTCGCCGGGGGATATTTCTGATGCAACCTGGCAACCAAACGAACTGGCTCGAGTTCCTCAATAGCCCCGGTGTAAGACCGTAAGACCACCGGAGAGTCTGCAACTCTGCTCCGACACAGGCTGCCTGTTTGTTTCAGAGTGTATGCGCTGTCGGTGGGCAGAGATGGGTCACGGTCGGACGGTGGCCTGCGTGCTCTGTAAACGCTCCGACGAGACGAGGATAACCGGAGCGTTATCAACTAAAGATCAAGTCACGGCTCATCAGAACTGTTTGGTAAATGTTTAGTCAATGTTTATTGTTTATTAAGGGCTAAAGCAGACTGTGTGTGCTTACAGGGAGTAAATGTTGGTAGTGGGCTGCAGACACTGTTTCTTTTCTGTTGATGTGTTTGAAAACATGGAGGCAAAACAGAAACCCCTATTAAACGTGTTGTATTGTATTCAAACACTGACTTCATACAGGATGTGGGTATGGCGGCGGGTTTGAATTCATAAGTGATTTTCAAATCGTTGGCAGGACAGAGAACATTTTTTTAAGTTATATTAACATTGGTGGGATGTAACTACGTACATTTACTCGAGTATTAAGCACAATTTGAGGTGCACATACTAGAGTATTTCAGTCTTCTGCTCCACTACATTGCAAAGGGAAATATTGTACTACATTAATCTGACAGCTGTAGTAACCAGTGACTCTACGGAATAAGATTGTACAAACATAACCTTTGATGAGCTGATGCATGGTTATACATTAAACCAGTGGTTCCCAACCTGGGGGACTAGGGGTAGCTTTAGAGGGGGTCATCAGGGACAAGAAAAAACTGAATTTAAGAAACTTTATATATGTTCAAGGCTTCATTCACAACCTAATCCTGCTCCTATAGTGAAGTATCTTTTGAATTACAGAGTTATTGTCCAAAACATTGTGTCCTCACTCATGTTGTTTCTGTTTTGCAGTTATTTTCCGCCGGTATTTATTGTCGTGATTCTCCAGAGTTTGATGATTTGTTTGGTTTCTCTGTGGAGGATGTGATGAATGAGGTGAAACGAGGAAGCAAACTGGTAAAGATAATTGGCATTTCAGGATATATGAATAGACCTTTTGCCATTAATTGTGTGCTGGAAGATATTTATGCGTATTTATGTGTTACTCTGTTTGCATTAGACGTGTAGCAAATGTAAGAAAAAGGGTGCCACCGCTGGCTGTGAGGTCAAACGCTGCAAGAAGTCCTACCACTACCCGTGTGCAGTTCAGGAAGGAGCTAAGACTATTGAGGATGAGGACAAGGGAAAATATGGGTTAGTTCAACATAACTGTTTGCCTGTACCTCCAGAAAATAGTCTTTCAATGTAAAACCTGTACGGCAGTATGTTTAATTGTTGGAAGAAACATCTGTATTTACTGCAGTTGAGTTCATCGATAATTTTCTCTCATTTTGGTTTGGTTGTAAAACTGTCTGTATGTGTTTTTATGCTTCAGGCTGTACTGCTTCTCTCACTATCAACAAACACAAGGCAAGTGAACTTCTGCCCTTTGTTCTTATGCTCCTGTAAACATCCTGTAAACACACGTTTGTGAACAACACGTGTTTAATTTTTCCTTTTCATTTACAGAAAACAACTCTGTAAATGGACGTGCCTCTTCCGTCTCCGAGCACCAAACTTCGGAAGAGTCCAACGGAGCCGGACCATCTAAGGTCTGACTAATGGAACTGTGTAGTGCGCAGACTAAAGACAAATCACCAAAAGGAAGAATTTCCTAAAACACGTGGGCACTGTAGTTTTCAGCAAACGTCACTGAAGCAGGAGGACATAGTGCTGTTTTTGGGTACTATTTTCAGAGGCGGATTGATACACAAGCCACAACCAGCCGGCCAACCCCAATTTAGCTTAGCCTAACTAGCAGTTAGTCGGTGCCCCTGCCGTGCATCACTCTTGGCTAGTAGCAAGCAATTGTTTGCTTTGTACCAATAAATCATTTATTTTTGGATAAAATCAACACCATTTGTCATAATACATTGGTTAGTATCCTCACGTTAGCTAACATAATCCACTCAGATGGTATTTTGCTAGCAACACTGGCCGACAGAATAACCTGCGAATGGCAAACCAGCCAGATCCAGATCATTTGTTGTGTTAGCTGGCTAGCGGTTAGTCTGCATTAGCGAACAAGCTAACGTTGGCAGCTAAAACTACAATATGACGATATATTTCACAAGCTTTGCAGTAATTCTTTGGACTGTGTGTTGTGGTGGATGCTGCTCGTTTGTAAATGTAAATGTTGGCTCCATTTATAAGCCAACATTAGCTAGTGTCGCACACCGTTGACACTGTAGTGATGCTAAGAGATCCCTACATAGAAACGCATATAAATCAGTCCACAGACAAAAGAGACAGTCGTAATTTTTAAAAGTTACGTTACGACCCATTCACATTTTGGCAATAAAAAGTGATTAATAAATAGAAATACGTTTCATGCTTCAGAATCTCACACATGGGACCTTTAATAGTACAGAAATGTTTTTAGTGTATGTATTTATTTCTGGAAATAAATCTTTTTTTTTTTTCTGTAGCCCAAACATTTAAAGTTGAAATAACTGGTACTGTGCTGCAAACACAGGAAGTCTTTATCTGGCACCATACTCTGTTTACTAAGTAATGATATCCATGTTTTATTTTCATGAGGTATTTTGCCTTACTTGTGAGAAGACAGAGGGAAATATCAGCTTGGAAAGTTTGTCTAATAGTATTATTATGTAAGTATTTTCACATTTTGCAAACAAATCTATACCGTATTTAATGTTTCTAATGTGCTCTTAACATCAGTATCTAATCATTGTAACAACCAGGCCTGTGTGTTTTAGATTGTATTGTGATCAACATGCTCCTGCATCACATAAGAGGAACGCCAGCGGTAAGTCCTCAAAGCACACGTGTCTCGTGTTTTAAGTTGTTGTGCTTCTTAGTATGCGGTATACATAAACACACACACACACACACACATATATACTATATATACATATATAAGTAAAATACAGGTGATAAAAAAACAAGTTAGTAACCATACAACTAGTGTAAAGATATAAAAAGTATCAGATAATCACATGTTAAAGAATATGAAATGAATTAAAGCAATTGAATTTAATAGAAATTGGCCTGAGCTGTTTCTTAAAAACTATTATTAAACTATTAAACATAAAGCTGCGTCATCATACATTTAGTAACCCTGCACTACAAGACATAAGGGGATGGTTTGGAACTCGGATAAGCAATCAGAAATGCATTAAGGTGCTAAACCATTAGCCAGTGTAATGATGCTAGTATTACAGGTTAAACGTCTTTCTTATATACAGGTGATTCTACAACAGCCGGACCGTCTGCGTACAGCAGTGACTCCAACTCATCCAGCAGTATGAAGCATTCCAAGGTACACATATGTAGCAAGTCTTGCTTCAATCGGGGGTTCTCCCAGCACACAAACTCTCACATCAGGAGGTTGGAACACACAACTTTAATTTTAGTCTCCCAGTTACCAACACCAACTATAGGCTACTCGGTCTCTGCCGCTACTCAGTGGCTCTCGCTCCCAGTAGCATCTCTCCTTCCAGGTCCAGCACACTACTGCAAGATAAAGGTAGAGTGATTAGGTAATGATCAGCAGCTGAGGTAATCAACTCACCTGGTGC